CGGTCTCCCAAGACGTCGCGTATCGAGGGTGCCCCAAATGCGCGCGACTCTCTCCCTGCTGCTGCGCCTCGTAGATCTCCGGACTGAACCTCAGGAAATCGCGCTGCTGCTTGGTGCGTTCTCTCCGTCGTCGCTGTCGGTGCTCGTTGCTCTTGCTCGCTTCCGCCAGCGTGCTTACCGTGGGCCATGCCGTGAATGGCGGTGCTAACCGCACTTCTTCAGGCCACTTCTTCACCAACTCCCGCATGAAGGCCTTGCGATGCGAGCCGTTCGTGAAGTCTCAGCTCGTCTCCAACGTCAACTTCTCCGTTTTGATGTCGCCGCGCTTCTCCGCGCAGTGCGCGATGCGCCCTTCTGCCGCGAAGATCTCCCAGAACCGCCTCCGTGCCTTCGGCGTGATGTCCAGCGCGTGGTTGGCCTCTGCGAGCCAATCCTCCAGCTGCTTCGCATCGAACTTCGTGGTCTCAGCATTCTCGATCTCGGCGTCGCAGTAGCTGCTGGCCACGAAAAAGTCAGTCTCCTTCTCGCTTTCCACCTCGCGGTCGCCGTCGGTGTTCGCGTCCGTGGAGCTCGACTCCTCATCAGCTGCTAACGCATCGGGCGGGGAGCTGAGCATATCGATGATCATGCGTCCTTTGTCATTCGTCTCCATGTCGGTCCGCTCCGGTGGCTGCTCGTCTAAATGCATCGCCTTCTTGTTGCGGTGGTCGATCACCATGCCCCGCCCCTCGAGACGGGGCCTCGCCACCAGCGGAGACACTCGGCCTGGAACCAAATAGACTGATATCTGCCTCCTCGCGTTCCTCGCTGAGGCCGGGAACGTTACCTGCTGCTTCGCCGTCGCGGTCTCGTCGTTGCCAAACCTAAACGTCTTGCGGCATCGTGCCGTCGGGATCTCGTTGGATAGGCCCATCTTCTGAACCTTTTCGCGCCATGCTGGCCACTCCTCGAGACCCATCGCTGGTTTCGTTGCTCCACTGTCGCCGACGCCCTTGCCCGTAGCCAAGTTCACTTCTTCTACCGTCGTCGTGTCGGGGCTCGGTGCAATCTCCGTCATCGTCATGTCGCCATGTACCTCGTGCAGCGTCTTCGCATCTTCGGGTCCATCGGCTGCTGCGCCATCTCTTCGTCGCTTGAAACGTGGCCAGTGCTGCTGAGTCGCACCTGCCGTAAGTCATCTTTAGCGAGCCGTCGGGGCGCCGTCCACCCATGGCTCCACTTCTGCCTCCATATGGCACCCTGCCGCCGTATCTGCCTCTTGCTTTTCCTTTGCTTGCTGCTTTCACGTGACTTGCCGTGTCCCGAACTCGCTCGTCCTCGTCTTTTGGGTTGCCGCATGTTGCCGGCCCGCGGTGGCAATAGTCCTCGTCGACCGTCCATCGGCGCCGCCGCCGTGTAGAACCCTCTCGCTGTCGCCAACTTTCTCATCTTCGCCCGGGCCTCCGTGTAGTTCGCGAATGCCTCCTCCGTCGCTTCGTGCGCGTCCTCGAGCTCTTCGGGGATCGGCTCCTCGTCTTCCTCGTGCCACGCGCCGTCCTCGTAGTGCAGCTCGCCCGTGTAGTCATCCTCGTACCAGTAAGCGTCATCGTCCGCTTCTGCTGCCCGGTAGCTGTCACCACCTTCGTAACTCTTGCCCCGGTGCGCGGTCGCCACGCGCCCGATGTCTTGCTTGCGTGCCGCGCTGTCGCCGCCGAACATCGTCCCGAGAAACTCCGTCACCACCTGCGCTGTGGGCTTGTTGTTACACATCGCCTTCAGGTTCGGAATCTGCCATCGTGGACTCGCCGACCTCGCCATCATGTGCCAACCCGCCAGCAAGTCTGGTAAGTCCAGCCCTGCTTCTCGTGGCTTCGACAACTCCTGACCGTGTCGCAGCACGTGCGCGTTCAGAGTCTCTGTCGGCAGCAACTCCACTTCCATCGTATATCTGTACAGGACGTCCAATTTGCCGAACATCTCATCGAACGCCTCGTTCGCGTCCATCCTCTCGAAGCTGATACTCTCGCACGCGTCCCAGGCATCGCTTTGCAGCTCCTGCAGCGAAAGGTATGCACCTTCACTCACCACTGTATCACCTCAGCGCTGACACAATCGCTGGAACACCGTCACCCTCCTTCCGCAATTTCTGTGCGTGTCATGCCGTAGGTCCGCCGCGTCCGGGCAGCACTTCGCCAGTGCTGCGTCCATCTGCGCCTGTCTATCGCTTCTGCCTCGACTTTGGTCTCGGTCACCGTCCCGTAGGTCACTGTCCGCGTCGCCATCTTCCAACCGAACATTACCTCCTGATTGATACGCTGTGCCGTCACCGAACGACATCGTCAGCTGGCTGCTGCTTGCCCTTGCCCTTGGGTCGAGGGCTGCCGCCGGGGCCGGAAGATCTCATCTTCTTCTCGGTTAGCGCGACCACCCACGAGCAAGGTCTCCGATTCCTGTTGCCGCGGATCTGGAGCCGCTGGCTCCGCTACATGTCGGTGGCACTCTTTTGGAACCACCGAAGTTCACCCGCACGAAGTAGGGAACCAAACGGAACATAATAAGACATAGAAGGGGAAACGAAGATATTCGCTCGTGGTTTTGATTGAATCAGGGGCCTCTCGGTATTTGATCAGTAACGGCGTCGGTGCGAGCTCACATGTGCGACGAAGCGCGTACATTCAATAACCACCAATCATACACAACACTGCTTTACTGCAATGCATGACATGAGAATTGGAACTGCGTTGGCGCGGACCCTGTGCCATTGACACATGCGAGCCGTTGCGCCCGGGGATGCGTTTCTTGTGTCCATGTTCAATGCGCGCGACGTCGGAGAGAAACAATGATTCGACATCGGAACCCGGAGAGGGATGACGAATTTCGTCTGGACCAGGGGCTTCCACCCCGAACAGTATGCCATCGTCCACGGTGAGCGACGCGACGCGCCTCGCGGCGTGGCTTTGTCACGAACGGGGTGCTCCACATCACACAATATGACGCTTGGAGCACGGGCTAAGGCAAGCTCTTGGAGACCAGGCGCATTGTGACGCCCTGCGCGCCGATCACTCGCGTTCTGAGCATACATGTGTCCGATCACTCGATTATCTGACGCAAGATGTGCCCAAATGGGTCGAACAAGGAAGAATTGGACGACAGTGACTACTGGCCGTTCACATGCTTGCCACAGCGCGCAAACTACTCAGTGACAGAAGTTGGTACAACACGTTGTGTCTGCAAGCACAAGGTTTGCTCTAACTATTCATTTGTTTTCAGGGTTGTCGACATCAGTGCATCCAAGTGCGCGAGTACCCTCCCCACTCCACCAGCCTCACCAATGCCATCTGGCCATCCAACGAGGCAGCCCCAGACCGCGGCAGGCTCGGAACATAGAGTTATCTATCAAGTGTCCTGCCCTCCCCACTCCACCGACCTCGCCAGAGCCACCCGGCCCTCCAGGGAGGCCCCGCCAGACCGCGGCAGGCGTCGGAGAATCGTGCTCTTTATCAGGCTTCACGCCCTCCCCACTTCAGCCGCCTCACCAATGCCACCTGGTCCTCCAGGGATGCGTCGACGGAGCGACGAGGGGACAATGCATGATGAGGACCATGGCGCGTAAGGGGAGGACAAGGCATGACGACAGATGCGGCATGCGGACGATGAGTCCAGGAATGCGCGAAAACGGAGGAAGCTCAGGAGCAGGGGGTAAAGAACCCAACCGTTCAACGAGAGCGTGCGGCGTTGCTTCCAACGATCTGGCTTCCCATTGTTTTTGCTGCTGTTGCGCCCCCTTTGACCCCGCGGCCCATTGAGACCCCTCGTGTGGGGAACCCCGATCACATGCTCTCAGGGCTGTGGGCACTTGTCTATCCGAGTGCGCGGTGCTCGGCAACGTCGGCAATGGCACTGACACTGGCTCTGTTTGAGCCTTGATGTCCCGACGCAGTGCAGCAGGACACCAGCTCATCGACTCTGTTCTCTAGCAGTCAGCTCTGGGCCACCAGCGACTCAGGAACACGAGGAGCTCAGCACAAATGCTGATCGGAAGGGGGAGGTGGAAGGGGAAGAGAAAAGGGAAAGTGGAAGAGAACTGGCAGGGAGAGGGGAAGAGGGCCAGTACGGATTGATGCAGACTTTGTCTTTCCTACAATCAGGCAAGGCATGAGGAGGAATCCGCTGCCCCTCAAGACGGCTATCCCGATCGCACACACCACGGACAAACACTCTATAGAGAGAAAGAGAGATAGAGAGAGAGAGAGAGAGAGAGAGAGAAAGAGAGAGAGAAAGAGAGAGAGAGAGAGAGGGAGAGAGAACAGAGCAAGCCAACTCAACAAGCTGTTCTGCGGCTGTCCTGATTGATGCAGACTTGTCGTCCAGGGGAAGGCAGGGAGGTGAAGGGAGGAGGGGAGGGATGGTGAGAGTTGCCCTGGTGCCTTCTGGGTCAGTGTCCAGAGGGTTTACACCTGCATGTTCTCACGGGGGAATACACATCACACATATATGCATACACACGGTGCCCTGGCGATTCAACCAATCCACGTCTGTCTTCCTCACCCTCCCACCTGGGGAAAGCTATTTTGGTTGGTATGACGCGGCTCTCAAGAATATTAATCATGCTACCTCGCTCTCACCCCCCCACCAGGACGAAACTTTCGCACCCAAGGGGTATGCAACGAGGCACTGCAGGGCTTTCCCATACCAATATACTGGAGCATGGAGGGGATAGGTGCGCCGTCGCGATCTCCGACTCACTTCCAACTCCGGGAACGGAGGCAGAATATGGCCACTGGCGACGGTCGCCCAACTCTTTCGCATGACGGATAACATCGTGTTCTATGCGCGTGCCCCTGCTCTGCCGTGCCTGTTCTTGCTCGCCCTTGGCGCACTTCGTATTGCAGATGCTATGTAAATCGTCGTCCTCTTTCACATGATGTCTTGACTGACATTGGTACTCAATCATATTCTCCCCCTGCCTTTCTGATCTGTGCTGCTTGCTCCATGAAGAAACGGGAGGTCGTGCAGCCCACCTTGAAAGCAATAGTGGATGCGCCTGTGGTATTGGTTCCAGGCCTAGGTGTATCACATCGCTCTCTCCTTACTCGAAACGCCTACTAACCACCTCCTTCCAGTTCCTGGCTGGGATGCAGCCGGGGAGATCTACACCGTCCGCCCTGATGTTCGCAGATCCTATGAGCAACCTTGTGCAACGGTCGGCGAAACGAAGCTTCTGGCGACACCCTCGACAACTCCGAGCGCTCCAGAGCTACCCCCAAGCCAGTGCTGCTTGCTGGTGCATCTGGCTTCTCGCTCATCCGTGCCGCCAAGGACCACGGCGGGGGTCGCAACGGGGCGGCCGGACCCCTCGACGCTGTGCGGCTCACTCTCGGGGGGGTGGCGCCCACACCTGGCGGCGGGAGCCAATGCTCAAGGCCCAGCGCGGGGCTGTGACTCCCGCTGCGGGGCGGCCGTCGTGCCTGCGTGGCGGCACCGTTACCATGCAGCACCGAACATGCTCGCTGCCTGCGAGCTCGGCGCGCCTCGCCTGGCGCGCGGCCGCGAAGCAGGTTTTCCGAGGCCGAGCTCCGGGAGTACCTGGAGCGCAGGTGCAGCAGATCGAGCCGCACTGTCAGGCCCCCGCCAAAGATTGGTCAGGCTCGTGGCTGGTTGAAGCCCTTCGTCCACCGCTGCAGAGCCAACATCAGGTGACTCGCGACAGCTTCATCCTCCTACGCGCCCTTTTCCGCCTCATCCCGCTTGTTCCCCTCCCCCCCCACACCCTCCCATCCACTCCTCCTTCTCCTCCCCTGCTGCAACTCGTTTTTTTTTTTTTTTTTTTTTTTTTTTTTTTTTTTTTTTTTTTTTTTTTTTTTTTTCTCCAACGGCAAACAACCCCACAAGCAGCTGCCACCTCTCGGGTGAAACGCCGCGGTGCGATGGCCATTCACAGCATTGGGGTTTTGACCGCGACCGACTGTCGTCGGCGAGCTGCAGGGTAGTGGGAAAGCCCAGGACGGGGGAACAAGCAGGAGGGAAGAGAGAGAGAGAGAGAGAGCTAAACTGAGAAAGAGAGAGAGAGAGAGAGAGAGAGATGGAAAACAATAAAAAGAGAAAGAGAGGGAGAGAGAGAGCGCGCGAAGGAGAAATAGAGAGAGAGAGAGAGAGAGAAAGAGAAGCACAACACAAGAATGCAACGCCGCTCGTGGCTTGTGCCACACGTGGACGCAAGCATCTCGGAATCAATATTATACCAGTGAGACTTGGGCCGAGGATAACGCAAGCTGTCAAGCCGGAGCCGAACACACTCTGACCAGACCGATGAGCAGTGAAGAAAGACCAAGGAGGCCATCAAACAACCTCTTGAATAGCGATTTGAGTGATAAATAGGAGCCAATTTCGCAACAGACCTGCCGCCCAGCAGCCTGACGTTGGGGCGAAGGTTGCCGTCGAACGCCAAAGGGGCGACGAGGACAGCCACCGTGCCAGCGCACAAAACCGCCAACAAGTCCAGGACCTGTGCTCCCGCGTGCACCAGATTCACCAGCGATTGCTGCAGGCGCGGCAGGCACAGACTGCGCGGCCAGACGGCGAAACGACCGGCGACAAGGCACCACGCTCGGCGGAACTCCTGCGATGCTGGCGGCCCGCCCACTGGCCCGCATGCATGAGCCGCACAAAGCGACAGTGACTGTGTATAGCAGCAGGGGTGCACGCCCCGCACGAGGCCAACCGACCGACTAAACGACAGACGAGGAGGCGACAGCACGGCAGCGACCAAGAGGAAACGAACGAAGGAAGGAAGGGAGGAAACGAACGAGGAAGGGAGGAAACGAACGAGGGAAGGGAGGAACGAGGGAAGGGAGGAAACGAACGAGGGAAGGGAGGACCCAGAGGAGGACTGGTGGAGGAAACGGTGGCCAGGATGAGAACATAACGAGCGTCGTGGTTGATCATACTAAACTGTACAGCGCGGGGGCACGACGCAGCCGCACATCAAATACCTCCAAGCTGGTTGGGCCGTCGTGGGTCAGCGCTGAATCCCCTGAGGCCCGCCAATGATCGTGTCATTCTGTTTGTATAGGATGTCCCAATTGACCTTGGCAAACATGCCATCCACGTCGTCGTCGCGCTTGGCGGTCAAGAGCGAGCGCTTGCCGGACGGAATGGAAGGGTACGGCTGCACCGCCAGGCCGACTGGGCTCACGTCGGCGGTCGGCCAGACCCAGCCCGCCTCGTCGCTTCGCTCTTGACGACGCTGTTCGCCCAGCTCCGTCCTCTCCTTGAGGCCCTCCAACGCCGACAGCGATTACCCCTGCTTCCAATCGCCCCAGGGGGCGTGCCCATCCCCCGGCCACTGTAGCGGGTGAGCGTGCCCGTGCCGCCCCACATGCCGTGGAACTGCTCGACGAACACCTCCCGCCACGAGCACCGCGGAGGGCTGCCGCCCGGCGCCCGCGAGCGCCTCCTCGAGGCACGCCTGGACGTCGGCATCGCCGACATCGTACTTGCCGCCGCCGCGTGCGGCAAGGGCGACTTGCCCCCGAGTGGTGGCCGTCGGGACGGCCAGCGCGGGCGCCTCGAAGGCGCTCGGTAGGAGGCAGAGCCCGAGCGCGATGGCCAGGCATGCCAGCAACGCGGTGCGGCGGAGGGGAGCCATCGCAGCAGGGCGAGCAGTGCGAGAAGCGGCAGGTCGGGGGCAGTGTGGAGGTGCGATGCGTGACAGTGTAACCTTGACCTTGACCTTGTTCCCCTGCTGCAGCTCTACCGTCTCCTCCTCCTCATCTTCCTCTCACGTCTCGCCGCCGCCGCCGCCGTTGTCGGCGTCGTCGCCGTCGTCGTCGTCGTCGGCGTCGCCGTCGGCGTCGTCGTCGTCGTCGTCGTATTCCTTCTTCTCATCCTCCTCCTCCTCCTCCTCCTCCTCCTCCTCCTCCTCCCTCCCCCTCCTCCTCCTCCTCCTCCTCCTCCTTCTCCTCCTCCTCCTCCTCCTCCTCCTCCTCCTCCTCGTCCTCCTCCTCCTCCTCCTCCTCCTTCCATTCTTCATCTTCCTCCTCGCAGCCATCGTGCCATTCTCGAGCCGTGCGCCGCAGGTCCGCGCGCGTCCCGCCGACGTCCTCTGGAGCTGATGGCGCAGGGGCAGCGCCAGCTGCAGAATGCCCTCGCGGCCGCCCGTGGGGCGACGCTGGCAACGCACGCGGCTTTGGGCCTGGCGCGGGGCACGGCCAGGCGGCAGCCTGCCGCCTGCCCCGCATCGCCGAGGGTCTGTGCTGCGCGGCGGTGGCGAAGCTTGAGGCCAGTCGGCCTCGCCCGCCCGCCGACGGCGCTGCGGCTGCAGCGCGGCCCGGCTCTCCCCAACCTGCCGCGGCGCCGCGGCAAGGGTCGGCGCTCTGCGGCCAAGGAGGAGAGTTCCGGGCTGCCTGGGGGCAGCAGCGGCGGCGGAGCCTGCTGGGGTGACGGCGGCGATGGCGCTGGGCGGCACCCCGCCCGACGAGCGGGCCGACGACCTCCATGCCCGCCGCTCGCGGCTCCCTGGTGGCGGCCTGCTGGCCGTGGGGGACTGTGCCGGCGCGCGCGCTGGCCACGTGGGCGAGCTCGTCGCCGCCTCCCCGACGATGCGCTGCGTCTGCTTCGCGAGGGTTCTGGGCGGAGGCACGGGCGTGGAGGTGCACTGCAGTGAGAAGCTCGTGCGCGCGGAGCCCTTGATGCCCACCTCCTTCCGCCCCACCTCCGGGGGGTTTCGGAATGTGGGTGGTGCGGCACCCCCGGGATGGGCGTGCCCGGCCTCACCCGCACCGCGGCCCTCCGCCTCTTTAGTTCGGTGGAGTTCGTCGAGCCGCTGCGATTGCGCCGATGCTAACGTCCTCTTCCTCCTCGCTGTCCTCCTCCCCCTCCTCCTCCTCCTCCTCCTCCTCCTCCTCCTCCTCCTCCTCCTTAAGCACTATTCCAACATGCTGTGGCCAATGGTGAATCAAACGTAAGGGCGGTCGCAAACATCCGCCCCCGCGCTTGCGAGATCCAAACTGGCTGCGGTCCCAACCCGCCTCGGCGCACTTCCCAGCAAGTGGTTTCGCGCCGCATGATCGGCGAGGGACGAATTCCCACCAACCCTCTGGGCGTGAGTGGTCGGTCGAGGGAGCTCGCTCTGCTAGCCCCCTTCTTCTCCTTCGGGGAAGGGGGTCCCTCTCCCCTTACCCCCCCCCCCCCCCCGGGTCTGCACCTCCCCCCCGCAGGGGTCAGAGGGTCCTTTTTGGACCCCAGTGTCTCCAAGAGGGTCACCGATGGCCTCCAAGATCGCTCAAGACATCCCAAGATGATCCAAGATAGCCTCCCACATGCCTCCAGGAGCCCTCCAGATCGCCCCAGGACGGCCCCACGTGCCCTCCGAGCCTCCCAGGGAGGTCCTCAGGAGGACTGGATCAGCCAAGACTAATCTGTCTTCAATGCTTTTTCTTTTCTCGCATTTCTCTTCTGATGGGCGTTCGAGGCCTCAAAATAACTTTAAGATTGCCCACGATGGCCCCAAGAGGGGCCCGGGAGGGCCCCAATATGGCATCAAGAGCGCCCAAGACCGCTCCAAGAGTGGCCCGGACGCCCCACGGGCGATCTGTTTGGGCCCCGACGGGGGGACAGACATCGGCGACCCCTCTCTTTTGATCGATGGCCTCCAAGATGGCCCCACGAAGCCCTCTTTCAAGAGGGCTCAATTAATTGAGCCCCCAGAGCGTCCCAAGAGGGCCTCGAGCGAGCCCCAAGAGGGCCCAACGGCTTCCAAGATGGCCCCAAGAGGGTCCCGCGATGGCCCTCAAGAGGCCTCCAAGACGCTCCCAGAGCGAAAGATCGCAAAGGTCTTCATATCGACTACTGTCGTCGTCGTCGTCGTCGTCGTCGTCGTCGTCGTCGTCGTCGTCGTCGTTGGCGGCGTCGGCGTCGTCGGCGTCGTCGTCGTCGTCGTCCCGCAGCTCCGGGCCTGCCTTGGTTACGTGGTTGCCTGTCGTCCCTCCCTGCTTGCTAGATGACCAGCGCACGTGTCTTCGGGTTTCGGGCGCCCAGAGCAACGGGCGCACAGCAAGTAACCACTCGGCCAAGGCAATCCCGGCCCGCACGACGTAATACAGGCACCGCCGGCAACGACAGGCAACCACTCAACCAGGACGCGACACATCCCTCATCAGGGCAACTCACCTGGTGCATGTTTTTGGATGGGCTGGTGGGAATACGCACAGCGTGCATAACACAGGCACGAGGACGTGTGGGAATATCTTTCGCCATGCGATGCTACCGCACCGAGGTCGGGCGATTCTCGGCGACGTCGAGGGGACATAACGATGGTGGGGAACACATCACGCGCAAAACCCTCGAAGCCACCTCCATGCGGGATTCTTAGACTTGGATCGGCCCGGGAGGGCTCCGGGGCCCGAACGGGGGCAAACACGCCGATAGTTTTCCCCACGATGTCCAAAAGTCATCCGCCTCGAAACTCAGACTCCGAGACTGTTGGGATCTCTGGGGGAACGCATATTCTGCTTCCGCTGGCTTCTGCTGGCGGAGCCGCTCCGGCTCTGATTATGCCGGCCTTTCGCCGGGAAGGAAACGTTGAGTTCTCGCACCCATGAAGGCGAGTCCGTTCCTGGAGCGCCCCAAATTGTGACTGTCGCTCTCGACGCTCTCGCCCAAGACTTCGTGACAATATGCTGAAGACCCGCACTCTCGTATGATCTTACCCCCACAAACTATGAAGACATCGCGACTTAATGTCCCGCCCGCACGGCCAGCCCGTCAAATTCTGCCTGCCCGACCCGCCTGTCGGGGCCCGCTGGGTAGATTGCTTGGGGAAACGCCCGCCCGCTTTAATGTACCGCCTGCCCGACCCGCCTGCCAGGGTCCAACACCCAGCCTGCCCATTAGGGTCCGCCGGGTCGGCTGGTTGGAAGCCATGCGCCGCCCGCGTAAATGTCCCGCCCGCCTGGCCCGCCCGCCAGGGTCCATCCACCCGGCCAACTTGTCTTAGCCTGTCGGGGCCTACCCAAGAGCTGGCATGAACAACTAAACCCAAGTGGGGTACGTTCATGAACGAAGAGGGCGGCAAACCGAGGGATTGTGGTATACATGTTGGATCATACGCGGGGGACGAGGAGCGAGCAGTCCCAAAATCATCGCTATTGCTTTGTAGAGAGGAGTAAGGGAGGCGGCGGATGAGGAGGGGGAGGGGGGTGGGGGAGGACGAGGGGGATGAGGAGATCAACAATGATGAGAAGGGATGGAGGACGAGGGAAAGGGAACGGGTGGGGGGGGGAGACATGTGGGAGAGACGCAGGGAGAGGAGGGAGATGATGCAGGGGTGTGGCTCGCCCCTCAGCGCCCGACGTCGTCTCTATATTCAGCATGTCCAGCGCCGCCAGGACCAATCGGGCCAAGATCTCGCTGTGCCCACTTCTGTTGTTCTCGGCCACGTCGGACGGAACGACGCCGACCGCGCATACGAATTCCTGGAGGGCGGCAGAACTATCCTCCTTCCCCTGCTCCTGTCGCTGCTGCTGCTGCTGCTGCTGCTTCTCCGTCCTTTTCGTCATGAGCACGCAGCTTTCCTGCGCACGCAGGGGACCAGTGCGGCGAGAGAGCGATTCTGATATGCGGGCAGACAGGTGAAGCCGCGGCTTGTATGTAATTACCGCCACACATCTGCGTACCCATGCAGAGCAACGAACAGAGAACCTATCAGCAAGAAAAGTCGGACATTCAGGGACCAGCCAATAACCACGAGTCACTCCGAAGGGGGGTGGCTCGCCCGAACACATCCAAACAAAGGTCGTCACCGAGCGGTGCCCTTCAAGGCCTGCTTGCTCTCACCATATTCCCTGCTCCACCACCCTCAGCGCATCGATGCGCAGCGCCGCGACCGCTGCGACTCCTCCTTCCACGTCTCGATCTTAGTGACCTGGTGGGCCTGGCACACGTTGTCGAACTCCGTGAAGGACCTGCGTGGCGGGATCAGCTGGACAACCCAACTGAGCTGTTGGAAAACTGGAAACAGAGGATGGAGCAACAAGGAAGGAATAATGAGAAGGGAAGGGTGAAAACGAATGGTTCCCAGCCCCTGGAATAAACGGGGCCGATCTCACAGCATACCCACAGCGTTCGCAAAGAGAGGTAGCTTGTTCTGTCTGGCCGAAGGAGGCGGGCTATTCTGATCTATTGCCTCATTCTCTCCTTCTCTCTGCCCGCAAACAATGCTTGCACTAATGGGACACTGCTCGAGTGTTTACATCTTGGCTTGCGCTTCCAAGAATTCGCTCCATGGCCACCTCGTGGCCGCCCCACTGCGATGGTTGGCACTGCCAAGCTTTCGCCGGGCCCCCGCTGGGTGGCCTCCTCCTGGCCGCCCCCCGCGCTGGCTGACTTTCCTGGGCTGTCGCCCAGTGTCGGCCCTTGGGTGCCCCGTGAGCTGGCTCGCATGCCACATTTTCGCCCAGTGAGTCGAAAACATGCTGGTAAGCTTAGGTATGTGTTACGCTTCAAGCGTTGCCATATCCCAGGCTTTGGCTCATATCGCATGAGCAAGAGAGCGGGACGAAGCATGGGATCTGGAGTAAAGGATAGAAGAGGCATCTTCAATGGAAAAGGTATTTTCCGATCTCAGATGCCAGTCGTGCGCCTCGGTGAGGCACAGTCATATATTTGGCCGGGCCCGGCTTGAGCCAGGCACGGCAGCGGTACATGCTCGATTTATACCTCGCCTTTAACCTTCTCCGTTTAAAGTCGGAGGGGGAGGAGACGAGCAGGCACCGCACTTCTACATTACGCGGAAAAACAGTGCTAAGCAGCAGCGGCTGCCTACAAGGCAAGGGCGCGCGAGTAGCCTCGCTACCGGCGAGTTTCCTCGCTACTAGAGCGCACCTGCACGCGGGTTTCCCCGCTAGCTCGGGAGGCAGGGCCGTCCTGAGACGACCTGCCCGCCCTATACGGTGTATGTTTCTTCAGCTCGTGCTTGAAGGATTGCTGGCCGGCCATTACTTGTAGGAGCAACGCGCGGTCAATACTACCTTTGGTATGACCATCGGCAGTCATATCCCGCGTGTCACACCATTGAACGCTTTCAACGATTCCGCGCTCCATCATCTGGCGGATCCAGCTAATGTGCCCAAGCAGAGTACATTCTGTGGGCTTCTTCAGATCTTTGCTAGACAAAGACTTGAAGACAGACTCGGCATCAATAGTCAGAGTGACTTTGATACATAGACCACCCATTTCCAATATGTTCTTTAACTGTGTGGGGGTCAATGGTCCCGAGTGTAGCTCGTGGAGCGTTACAATGGTCGGGTAGCAGTCTTCCAAGTTGTGGGCTGCTGCCAGTGTTTCCGCAGAGTAGCTCGAACGCACCTGCAGTCGATGAGACTTGCAGTATGCGTCCACCAGGTGCACGACGGGTTTCCCCGCTTGCGTGTGGCCACGCCTCAGCAGGTTAGCCCCGCGGATACCATAGCCTTTGACTTCGTCGTCTTCATCTCCATTGAGACGGCGATAGCCAGAATCGCTATGCAGGTCAACTTCTCCTGTTGGAGTCATAGCTTGATACGCGATCTTCTTCGGACCTGCCTGTAGTTTCCTGGTAACCGCGTTTAGTCGTCGTACCTGGATGTTTGTCGGTTCCTGGATACGTTGTAGTGAGACAACATAGACCATCAGCCATACCTGCGTGATCAACGCATAGGCTAGAGCGCCACGAAGACTGACGAACATATCAGAAATCGTCTTTGTCGCTTTGCTCTCAGGATCAGCTCCTGTGAGTTCTGGATGTGTGATAGGACGAAGCTGTTTGATGTATTCGTCCTGATCAAGAGTGACGCTCCCATCATCGGTCTTGTTATACCGAACGGCACAGTTTGTGTATGTGTGCTTGTTCAGTTTGCACTTCCCAAACGTATCTTCAACACACTTGACATACTTGTCAATAGCATCTTCCTTCCCAGTCATATTGATGTCATCAACGTGCTTGGCTGTCAAGAGGTTTGAGCTCATCTCGAACTCTTCGTCGTATGAAGTAGGCTGTAGCCCAAAGCTCCTAGTGATGGACCTGAGCTTCAGCGAGAATGCCCTGGGAGCATCCTTCGTGCCCGTCCCCGGCTTCAGACACCGAAGACAATGCTTTGATTCGTCATATGACTCAAAGCCTGGCAGTGTGCGAAGGACAGCTGCTGACCCAGGAGGTAGTGTGAAGCACACCACACGCTCTTTCTCGCCCGTTGCCGCGGCGAGCTCGCTATAGGTCAGTCCCTTCAAGAAAGCCATGTTGATGTCCAGGGAAGCGATGATCCAAGCTTTGTTGCATGCAGCGGAACTTGCGAGCAGTCTCTGGCTTGACCTCCTTGCCGTGCCAGAGAAGGTTTCGACATCAAAGGCTTCAAGGTCCATGAAGCCACGGAGTACCAAGCGTAACCTGATCGTCCTTTCCATTTCGCCCTTTTCGTTCTTGACAAACTTCCATTTGTATACGTAGCGTGAAGTCATGATGTTAGACGCTTTGCTCAAGTCAGTCATCTGAAAGCATTTATTGTCAAGCCAAGTCTTCAATTCTGTGTAAAGGGCTTTGGAAACTTTGACCGGATTCGCTTGAATGTCGGCCTTCGTGAGTAGATCGTCTTCCTTGACGACCACGGCACGTTTGGAGGCAGCACTGACGTATACTCGCATAGTTGTGACGCTGCTGTCATCCAACAATCGGTGTTGCTGCTCGGACAGGACGACTTTGGACATGTCTGCTGTGAAGCAGAGCTCGATGTACTTCCCGTGCTCATCGGAGTCCAGATCATATTTGCTATCCGGATCCGTGGAGCATAAAGGAACGTAGTAAGAAGTGTCCATGTCGTATCCTGGCGGGTGACCCCGCTCCGGCAAGTGGCCTTGCACATCTTCACAGGTCGTAGAGACTAACACACACTGTGTGTCTGTCATGTATGTGGGAACTGTATGCATGACTTCCTCTGTGTCAGCTTCAAGGAGTGTTCTGTCATCCATCAGTTCAGCATACCACGACTTCAAGACAAAGGCATCCAGATCTTCTTCTGTTTCTTCTATGATGGTCGGGAGCCGACCATCGTTCTCCGCAGGAGGCTGCTCAGGAGCAGCTGCTGGAGGTGACTCGCTTGGTGGTGGACCATCAGCGAGTTCCTCAAACTTAGTGAGGTCTCGGTCAAATCCAGCAGGCGGCTTCCTGGATTTAAGACACTGGATGATGCGTGAGTGTGTAGATCCTGTGATGTCGTAGATGTTCAAGGCAGTGCCATCAGCTTCATAGTAATGAAAACCAGGGGTCACATCATTATCATAGTGCACTAGTGTACAGCTGTCTGCATAGGGTGCAGCAGGCAACTTCGTCAGGCTCTTGGCAAGTCGTACAGCAACAACGTTTTCAATACGAAAGTAGTTGCGTATGAGGTACTGAAGAGCCAAGTGCACCTTAGGCGAAAGTCGGCTCGCAGCAGTCATCTGCAGCCGACCCTGTTTCGCTGGTAGATATCCGAAAGTCATGGCGGGTTTCCCCGCTGGCAGACCGGCAATAAAGGCCAATACTGTCCGAAGGGCCGTATTGTCCGATCCTATCTCGCGGACCATAAGTGCTTCGATGTACAGCGTGTGTCGTGTGTCAGGATACTGTACTCGCACCTCGCGACTACCGACCTTCACGATGACCTGGCCTCGGTCAGGTTCGTTGCGGATGACCGGGTATGGACCACTCCATCCACCCCAGTCGTCTTTCGTGGTGGTCGGGCGATGATAGTCCACGAGATCTCCCTCTTTGTAGTGAAATTCACCCGTAGCAGTAGTCTTCGTACGGAGAGCCCTGTTCGTCTTGGCAACCGCAGTGGCCTGCGTGATTGCCTCCAGACTAACCCTCCTGATTGTTTCCTCCCTTGAGTGATCTGATGATTCAGCGGACTGATCATGATCCAAGACAGGGAAATCGGGAAGCATAGCTGGTTGTCTGCCATACAGCGCATTGTACGGAGACACTTCATTGTAGAAGGTAAATGCGTTGCTGGCAAACAAGGCTTCATGTAAAAGACGAGTGAAATTCAGAGGAATATTTAATCTATTCAATTCTTCTCCCATCACGTGTATGAGGTGTCGCAGGATGCCGTTCCTAGCTTCGATAGTCGTGGCGTGTTGGCCACGCGCTCGGATACGAAGCTCTGTTCCCTTAGCCTTAAGGATGGCCTTTGCTGTATCGTTATTCAGTGCTCCTTCCCCATCGGAGTATAAGATTTTAGCAGGGCCGTGTTGCATCCAAGTTGTGTGATAGGCATCGAGAACAGTATGCATGGTCTTATCAGGAATCTCTGTGCCAGCTGCCCAGCGAATACAACGGTCGATGATGTGAAAAACAATATGTTCCTGTTTGTAAAAGAAAAGATCACATTCGACTTCCTCGTTGAAACGTCCTGGCAGTGACACAGAAGGCATCACCGTGTTGCCTGGTTTGTCCCAGGCTCGACATTCTCTACACGAGTCGCAAATGCCTTTGATCAGACTCAAACGGGTTTCACCCAGACCAACCTTAGTTAGAATCATCCGCATTTTTGGCTCCTTGGCATGAAACCATCTCAAGTGGAGTTTGCGGAGTTCTCGCTGCACTACAGCTGGGTCAAAGCTGCGCAGGTTTTGGAGGCTGAGCTGAACGTCGAAGCGAGTCCAATCAGGGAGCCTTGGCCTTGGCCTCGGCTCTGCTTGAGGCTGCGGCGGTGGTGGAGGATCTCCTCCCTCCATGCGTCCGCGCCTTGCTGCAACTTGTGGCAGTCTACGGTGATCGTCAGAGCTGCCAGCGCCAGTGTTGCCACCATTAGCCCCTTCGGCTCTGGTGATGTCATGGCTGCTGGCGCCTGCGGTTGGATCGCCCTCACCAGGCCGTGGCGGCCTAGGCGCGCGTATGCGCGCTCTCGCGGCCGGCGCCGCTTTTGCGGCTGGCGCCGCTTCTGCGGCT